TACATCGTGTGAAAGATACATTAAAAAGGTAAATCACAACAAAATACACACAATATAAATCCATTAGTTGGCAATTGCGGTATCGAATCAGGATGCAGGAAGAAAGTTTCCTATCCAGGGCTTACTATTGGAAACGAGGTTGGAAATAACGTAAGCCCTGGGGACGAGGTTGCCGTACGTGTAACTGCACTGCTATAACCTATACCAATGTGATAGGCCCCTATACTAATTCCGCTGTACGTAACATGAACCAGCTCTATCTGCGCAAGCGGCAGTGGTGCTTATGATGTGCGGTGAAGGGGGGGGGGGGGTAGTCTGAGTATCACCTGTTATCCACGGAGCCAAGTCTCTCTCCTATAGCGTCCGAAATGTCAAAGCATGCAGATATATTCGATCTCGCGCCTCAGCCAATCGGAGCCGACTTTACTAAATCGTGACGTGATTTCGATCACTCCTGAATCAGGACTAAACTTTTGATTGGTCAATTCGAATGTAGTGTGTCTGTGTATATGGAGATCAACGTTTGTAATACAACAACAGCCGTGCGCGTATTGCGTAACATAATACAGAGTGCGTGACACAGCCTTTGTTGCTGTGTCTAGGTTTTTTTTATGACGCGACAACTGGTGAAAGACCGAAGACCCGATATAGAAAGTTCCCGCTGATTGGTCAAAATCTAGCAGTTAAGATGTGGTTGTCGTGCATAATTAATCAGTGAATCTGCTCAAATGTTACAGGCCAATCATGACTGTTAGTGGTCAAAGTACGATGATCCAATTTGATGGCTCTGCTATCCACGGAATTCCGCGCTTACGATCACCATTTTTTTTGGCTAACGGCGGTAGCAGAACAATTTTGCGCAAACCATAAGCACAGAATCATTGGTAACGGAATGTACGCATGCGCAGAAGCCAACATTCTTCGCTAAACAGTGAAATACGCTTACCGTAAGCACGGAATTTTCACAATTTGCACAGAAAATCTCCGAACTGAACAGTGCCTTCCTGAAAATGGTATCACAGCAACAGCGCCCTCAATTGTCAGGAAAAGCTTGGGAATTTACAAAAGTAAAGAAGTGCACTTTTCAATAACATTAACCAAAACTGGATGTCAAATATTTTTCATAGGCTACATTTAAGAGGAGTTGAATGTTGCAGAGAATATGTTCCTATTAAAGTAAAATTCATGATATCGCCTCTAATTTAAATTCACTTTGTGTTTTTGTGTTCTTGATGATATTTACACTTCTGTTTTCTGCGTTCCTTTTTAGTCCGATAACATAATACGAACAGTCAACGAATGAGCTTAATTGTGCTCAAGGATACCCGAAAAATGCCTGAGAACTCACCAGACTTACACAAGTTCAGATAACTGGGCTAATTGCAAAAACTGATTGTCAGTTGAAAAAAAGTGCATGTGACCGTAATGTAAGTGCGTGCAACCGAAATGTAAGTGCGTGCAACCGAAATTGATGCACCACATTTGGCATCGCAACTTGATCCCTTGCCTGAAACAGAGCCGCTAGTTGTTTGAAAGACACGTGTTACTGATCACGTAGTAACCAACGGATAACGTATCACCAACCGATAATCGATTAACCGATAATATTAACCGAGCCGTGAGAGTGAGCTGTTTCAATTGCATGTGAAAACTTAAGTATTATCTTGACTGGCTCCCAGGGAGACTAAATTCGTGTATTTAGTCACATGTATTAAAGTTATTTTGCTGATGCACACCCCTGAAGAAGACTATGAAGTGTGTGATAGCCATGATAATGTAAGCAGATTCGCCTCTAAATTATGCAACTAGACTGCGTATCACCTCAAGAAACTGACCAATCAGCGGGCGCCTTCTATGCGCGCGTAATGCTTCCGCGTGCGTAAACATTACCCCCCACGACGAGTAGCATTTGTATAGTCTGGTTTCTAGACCAACAGATTCTGACTATTCCTGATGAATCGTAGGTCTAACCTCGTCCCCAGGGTGTCGAGCAGTACAACCCGTGAAGGAGGCTGATGTAATTGTTTACTACACACCGTAATGGATAGGAACCTCATTAATATTCGTGAAAGATTGATAGATAGTGCGTACGCCAGTGTTACCATTGTTTCAAAATTGCACGTAGCGAGACCCATTTTTCCAATTTCAGCAAAAAGTAATGAACATATCACAACGACTTTTAGCACCTGGGTCATAGAAGGGAAATAAACCCTGAAAGTTGCATGAAGATACGGTCTTCCAAACGGGAGAAATTAATTTTTTTCCAAACATTTCACCCGCCAACGAGAACATGTGTGTGTGTGCATGTTGTTTCATTCAAACTAAAGTGTTAAGTATCTAGTAACCTTTAGAAATCTCCATTCGCAACCATATGGCTGGTTCTACCGGAAATGGGCTCCGTGGACCGTGGAGAATGGGTGATACTCGTCAACATTGTAAAAATATATGCCAACCCGCTGAAAAACGTATGTCAACCTTGTCAGGAAATATGAGCCAACCCGCTGAAAAACGTATGTCAACCTTGTCAGGAAATATGAGCCAACCCGCTGAAAAACGTATGTCAACCTTGTCAGGAAATATATGCCAACCCGCTGAAAAACGTATGCCAAAATAAAAAAAAAATATTAGTCAAGATTTACGTGAAAAATAAATGTCAGTATTGTTTTAAAACATAATGTGAAAAACATGTGTCAACCTTTTACCTAAAAAAAACGCCAACTCGCTAAAAAGTATGTCAACGTTTCAAAAAATATTTGTCCAGATTCCCGTGAAAAGTACAATATTTTTGTAAACGTTGACATACATTTTTCAACGGGTTGGCACATATTTTTTACAATGTTGACATGTGGTTATTTTTTGCGGATTGGCTTATTTTGTCTTTTACAGTGCTGACATGACCGTGTTGGCGCATGCTTTTCAGCAAGCGAACGAAAGAAATATGACGCATGTTTTAAAAAAAAATGCCATTAAAAAAAAAATGTTAAACGGTAAATGTTACTGTTGTAAAATTTAAAAAAAGTAGTGGTGTATTTTGTAATGTTCAAAGTTGCCGGTCAGGGTTGAATAAACTCCGCTTTGGCGTGCCATAGTATGCTGCTGTTTGAAAGATCTCGACCGCCAAGAAATTTTGCTCTTTGATGTCTTACAGAATTCTGATAAACGTATGAAAATGGCCTCACAGCTGAATTAGAATGACAATATATGAATTCATCAAATACCATACTGCTGTTAGTTTAAACATTTCTGACTTAGTCTACCAGAAATGATTCACATTGTTGCATGAGAAACCTGAGAACATATTCACTAAAAAGGATAATAGTTCAACAGCTTTGTTTCCACTCAGTGTTGCACTTTCCTATGTCATGCAATACCAGCGTGGGATCGCAATAGGATCTCTCAAATTGAAAAAAAAACCGGGAAATGTTTTGTTCGAACACTCACTCTTGGCAGAATTCGCACGCCATAGAAATTACGATGGCTGTAAGTGAGTGTAGGTTTCCCTATGGCGTAAAGGCTAGTGTAGAGTTGGTAAAACTATGGCGGAGTCACAAGGAAATAATTTGCGTTCTTTATAAACTTTCGTCCTACATCGACCAACATATCGCCGACCACCATGATTTAACCTGTTGAATACAGGCGAGATTTTTTTTTATGCTGAGATATTATCGTAGGAACACTGCACATTTTGATGTTAATACTACTTGTATGTCGTACGAAATTGACGGAGAATTTTAGACCTTAGTCCTTATAGATGGGTGTCGCTATACATTGTACGTACACGTACATACGTGCATTTGATATGCGTGATATGTATCTATACATGTTATAGTACGTATCTTACAATCGACAGAAGCATGACCAATCTTTAATCTTTACAGTTTCAGTAATGTGTACATGTATTTCCATATATCGATACGTCACGCGAATCAAATGCATAGAACGTACGTACATGTATAGCGACACTTAGATGTAGGGTCTAAAATTATCTGTCAATTTCGTACGATACAAAAGCAGTATTAACATAAAAATGTGTTGGATCCCAACACCTTTTTAACACTTTGAAAAGTGTTGCAAAGGGACCGTTGTAACTTTCTAAAAGTGTTGGAATTCGTAACACTTTGGAAAGTGTTGAATCAACTTTAAAGTGTGGTCACTGACCGAACTCAGCAAGTGTAAAGCTTATCATTTATAAAGTTGGATTTATCACTTCAGTTTTTAGAGTGCATATGTAGTAGCCTCTCTGCCTTTTTAGTATACATGTCTTGTCGATAACGGCCTTCGTAAATTTTGCTGGTAGATTTTTTAAATAGTGTCATGCCAACACTCTTTAATGTGTTTTTACTGCAGTAGTTACAAGGACTACAACAACAGACTGGTTCTGTAACGATTACATGCTTCAGACTACATGTCTACGAGGCGGGTTCCAGAGGGAATTGTTGGTGCTACCAAAAAAAAAATACCGCACGGCAGCGAGCTGGATACTCACCGGGATGACGTCACCTGGGCACGTATCATTTTTACTTCCCGGACGCGCGGCGGAATCGGCCAATGACGTGCTCCAATTTGATCATGAATATTTATGAGGTGCAGTAAATAAGACTAATGGTAAGGCGACGCCGTCAAGGGGCACAGTGACCAATAAGATTTAAGAGCTTTTGGGGCGTGTCTGTCATACACCGTGTATGATATGAAGTCATATCTCCAGTCTACAACCAACGGGATCTCATGTGAAAAGCCACAAGGCACCATTCTCCTTTCATTGACGTACCTCCAAACCATTGATCCTACTGAAGCCAAAAAGTACCCAAGCACACGACAGAAAAATAAAACCAGTTGGGGTGAGGGAATCGAAAAGAGAATTGGCATCTTGCCAATGATGGGAGTATTTAATAAAACTCCCCCTGCATAATGGAGTATCCCAAAGTTCTTCTGAATTCCTATTGGTTACTGTAACAAACTCCACTTTGATCTGCCGTCAAAGCTATAAAAGATGCTGTCCGCGCTGCATTGATGCATATCGAACTCCATCAACATACAACGCAGCTAGCAGCCAGAGCAGTCATATAGTGTACAAGACTTCGACTACCAGCTCAATTAACGTAAGTGCAGCTTTAGATTAAATTGATAAAAAAGACTATCATCAGTTTCGTTTATTAAGCGGTTGTACTACATATAAAAAAGTCCTATACTTTTTATCCTAAATAATTATGTTCTTTACCAATGGAATTAAACCAAATTTTCAGACCATGTCAACAAGGTATGCCAAATTTAAGGAGCAACTTTCACTAGCTTTGTGCAAGAGGGTGAGATTTAAACACCACACGAAAATAATATTCACTTTCAGAATGTCGGTGCAGCGCTGTATGGTGACGGTGGCGGAAGGTGCGCACAGCGGCGATTTTTTTCCGTCGGTGGGATGCTCCCAAGTGATGGGGCCGAAAGCTTTTGAAGGAATGCAGGATCACCCCTGATGTCATTGCACACCTCCTCGATTGTGTGCTGCGCCAAACGCATGACACTAAATCATCACATTATGATCACATGTACATCTTATGTACACTTAACCTCACATCAAAACTGCGCATGTAACGCTTTTGTTTTTTCTCCCATTTTCAGTACTGAAAATGTTTTTGAATGTTAAATAAATGAAAAATATCTGAAAATGAGCCATTTTGGTTTCTCAACACGAAAGACTGGGGGGGGGGGATGATCCAATATCTCAGTCTTCTTACCTCCGCCAAGGAAGTTATATTTTCATCGGCGTTGGTTTGTTAAGTTGTTTGTTGGTTTGTTTGTCTATTAAGATAACTCTAAAAGTTGTGGAAGGATTTTCATTACAATATTTTTAGAGGTGGTCCTTTAATTGGTACAAGTACAAATCGATTAGATTTTGGAAGTGATCCGGATCTGGGTCTGGATGTAGGTTAGTTGAAAAGATTCGTCACAATTTTGTATATACGAATATGCTATGTGTACAGACGTGAGTGGGTAACGCAGCGTGCAGTCTATTACACCTTTGAAACCAACAGGTCAATGGACTCGACCATTTGATACAATGGGGGAGTGAGGAATGTGCAATAAAATATGGAAGTCCAGTGGATATGCGAGTATTTCTATTTAGGTGTTCTGACAATATGGCGGGGAAGTTTTCAGCCTTGGCGGAGGTTTGCGCTGTCTGAGCGCTTTCTAGTTTTACCAATTGTTTTGTACTTTTCATTTCGTGTGTGTACCAAAGCATTGTTTTCTACCCTACGAGGTTGGTTCACGATGCTGGCTCTACTAGCGATTCTGACGGTGACCGCCGTGGGTCCCCTCGGCGCTCTGTGCGGCAGTCCGCGGGTCGATATCTCTGGTCTCGGTGCCGTGGTCGGAGAAACCGTACACTTCCAGCGTGACACCTACCCGGCCGTAGACACCTACGTGGATGTCTACCGGGGAATCCCCTTCGCTGAGCCGCCAGAGCGCTTTGCTAAGCCCCAGCCTAAGACGCCATGGTCTGGTGACCTAGACGCAACGACGTTCGGGTCCGAATGTGCACAGCCGACCCAGACCTTGGTCGGCTTCAATGGCGCAGAGGATTGCCTTTACATGAACATCTGGGTGCCTAACCAGGTAATGCCAAAATTATATTACTTAAATTTAATGTTACAGTCTTTTGACGCAATGGACATACAATTTTTACTACTGTCGAGCCCAAGGGCTGGCCACTTATTTGGGTTTAAATCCATTCATATACTGTTTCCCGCCCCGCCCCCTATATGGGGATCGGTAGCTATAGCTACCATTTAAAGGGATACTAAATCCTGGAACACGCCCAAAACGCTTTAAAAACTGTGCGTTTGTGTATTATTCTTGTGTTATTCGTGCGAGAACAAATTTCGGGGTCCACTTTTGCGACCCCATAAATTCTGGCTGTACAGTGATAGTTGTGATTCCAGCCTTAAAGTTTTCGCCTTCTGCGGACGTGTAAGAAACCACATTTGTGCATTGGTGCTGTGTGTTATTAATTATATGTGACACACACACACACAGCGTGTATCGTACATTAGCTGAAAACGACAGGAAAAACGTATGAGTACTCCGTCGTTTCCGATGTAAACAACCGGGGTTTTCGTCTTTTTTCGCGAACGGTCATGTTGGTTTCCTTTAAACCAGATGTTTGAAATAGGATAAGAGTAAACAATCCAAAACATCAAATTTTCATAATTTCAGGACTAAGTGCCCCTTTAAAGCCATTGATAGGGTCACCTCTGCGCGCGCACCATGTTTTTCTTTAATCACCATTCAGCTTCGTGCATCATGGACGACACTTGAACACATACCAAAAATCTGACTCTTGTCTTACCACAAAAAGTAGGCAAATCCACAATGACTCCATGAAGGCAACTTTCAAGTATTTTAACTGCATAGGTTTGAATATATACTGAACAGTAGTGCCCCTGTCTTTATTGATATTTGTCAGAGACACTTTCAAATTCAGCAATAAATCGAAACTCATCACCTCCGAAACTGCACATTGGCCTAATTATGCAATAGGCTGGTGGCACGCACACATTATCGTTGTGATTTAGAATTCATATCAGGAGGCGGGATTCAGACCTCTGCACGTCATGCATGAATTTGCATACATGAGGAGGAAAGCCTCCTAATATATTCTGGATTAACTGCGAGCGACCTGTCCCCATATTTGAAGCCCGAAGGACAGGGAACCAGACCAAATCCATTCCATGTTCAGTTTGAATGGTATTTGTATCATATCCCTTAGGCGACCAATGCCGCCGTCATGCTGTTCATCTACGGTGGGACATTTCTGACGGGCTCTGGTTCCATGGAGTGGTACAACGGGGTTCCCCTGGCCGCCTATCGTGACGTCATCGTGGTTAATTTTAACTACCGACTCGGACCGCTCGGATTCCTCAGCACAGGTGAGGCTGGCGCTCTTTTCAACTTTTCAGGGGCGAAAAAAACAAGATTGGTGGATTTTGAATGAATAATTCGGAGATTTATTTAATGACAAGAAGAAAAAATGCCGAAATGACCCACAATAATGGATGTTAATATACTTCACCACACGTACAGGGTGACCCAATAAATTGCAACCCTAAAACATTTTGCCTTTTTGAAAAAAAGGATCGTTGGATTTTTATGTTTTGGGCATCAGATTAAAGCTGAGAGCTTTTCCTTTCACATACTTAAAAATCATGAAAATAACACTTTCGGTTGCCGAGCAAATTTCCACCTGAATTAGTATCTCATCTTTTTTAGTCCTATTTTAAACCTTTTCAGCATCATAAATAATTATGTCAAAATATTACAGAAATTGCACAATTACAAATGACGGATAATTCACGCTAGAATTTAAGTAAAATGTTTCACTATTTGAAGTACTTGGGTACAGGATAAAAAATGACTACGGGGTGCTCATAGCCAAATAAGGTAATGAAGTTGACATGCAAATGAGGCTATGCAGGAATTGAACTTTCAACCAATAGCATTTCGGTCTTTTGAGCTCACTCCATTTGTTTGCAGGGGACGACAAGCTTCCTGGTAACCTCGGATTGTGGGATCAAGTCGAAGCACTCAAATGGGTCAGAGAACATATCGCTGGTAAGTATGTGACCTTTAGACGATAGAGGCATTGGGTTAATTATATCGCAGACCAGTAACTACCATTGACCCCAATGATAAATGCCCCCACTTCAGAAATTCGGGGAAAATACTCACAACTCTCCAAGGTGTTCTAAACTTGATGACCTTTTAGGAGAAATGTTCATCCGAAGATGATCACCCCTTAAAATTGCCCTGAAGCCCATCGCCATTTTGAAAACGGTGCCTACACAATACAAAAAAATAGAGCACTTTTAGGGCCCCAATTCCAGTCAAATTTCACTGAAACTCAAGCTCACAGCCCGTATTTTTTTTTACAAACCCTCAAGTTCATGGCCCACAATATGCTCAAATATTGAAGAATTTGAGGGCATGCAAATTGTGATGTGGCCGGCGTAGGCAATTTCGGACCGACGTACTGGCCTGCAATCTTTAAGTCGTGCGTTGATAAGCAAAGTTGATTACGCATTATGGACGCCACAGCAGAGCAGCAAACTGATTCATCCCAAACACAACGCTTTTGAAAGTTCTGTTTCATTTAAAAAAATGCTCTGTTTGATTGAAGTATTAAATTTATTAGTAGAAAAAATCTTAACATTCATGTCAGTGAAAAAAAAAATCGCCGTTATTGATACAGAAACTTCAATACTGGTCACTGGTAAAGCTGACCTAAAGGTCGTGGAAAAATCGTTCGAAAAGGTCCCCAAATCCAATACTTATCTCAATTTGTAGGAATCCTTACAATTTTTCGCGAGTTGTTGAACACTTAAACCATCTAAGTATTATCCGAGTTTTAGCTAAATCGGTTGTTGCAAAAGCATGTGTTACATCCTGAACTATCACCGAGGTAAATTTCGACTCGGATTTCTCAGTGCCGAGCTAAACACACGTGCATGGTCTATACCACGGCCCAATTCGGACGAATAGTGACTGGTGCAATATTAGCATGTTCATTAGCGTGACTCGGCGTGACTTCGCGTGGGTCTCGGTATGACAACCCAACGAAAGCCCACCAAAAAGGTTGACATTTTTTCTTATTAATAACTCGTGAAGGAGGGGTACATTTTTAATGCACACCATGATCAATAAGAATCTCATTAATATTCGTGAGGCTTCAAAACTTCGACAGATATAGCAAACACCATTTTGTTACAGCTTGAAAAAATGGACGTACCCAAGCCTATTTTTCCTATTTTAATGGAAAAAAAAGAGAACATATGGAAACGATTTGTAGCGCATAGTTGGATGATTGGATCATTATGAGGGAAACAAACTCCGAAAGTGGCATGAAGATACGGTCTTCAAAATGGGAGAAATTAATTTTTAAAGATTTCGCTCGCCAACGTGAACATGTCTGTGTGCATGTTGTTACTTAAAATAAAGTATTACGTAAACTTTAGACTCGGCCTTGGCAACCACACGGCTGCGTAAGGCTGCGTACTGCGTGTCCAGCAACTGCTGCCCTGTTTATTTCATTCTACATGTATCATCGTCACTATTCCAGACTTTGGAGGAGACAGCAACAAGATCACCATCTTCGGACAGAGCGCTGGTGCCGTATCGGTCGGTCTCATGACTGTCGCCAAGCAATCTTGGGGTTACTACGACAGGGCTATAATGGAGGTACGTGGGTAAATGTAGTTAATGTGTGTGATCCATTCACTCGTACCCCTACAAACAGGACGCTGGGAAGGGCTGATCTCTTTGAGCTCTCATTGGATAGATTTTGCGCGACATGTGACGAAGCACGCAGCACACAATCTCGCTGCAGCAACTTCGTTCCCAGGGTGTCGAGCAGTACGCGCCCACCACTACATGCTCTCTGTATTGATCATTAGCGTATCCAAAATGTGTGGATATGTATGCAAATGGGGAATAGTCTGGGGAATAGTCTGTTGCCTGCTTGTGCGTTACATTAGCGTTTGGTTTTGTATGCGGTGTTTGGGGTAAAAACATAATCAATTCGTCCTGCCGTGAGTTACGCAAACACAGTTGTTTTCAAGGTTAAATAAATCTTATCCAGTCATTGTGGACGTAATTATTACAATGAACGTGAAAAATTAAAAAACGTGAAAATCAGGATACAGGAAGAAACTTTCCTATCCAGGGCTTACTATTGGAACGAGGTTGGAAATAAAGTCTCAACCGGTACCAAACGATCTAATACAAGACTGTATAATTTGTAGATTTGAGCACTTTGAAACACAGGCGTTGGCAGGATTTTTTTTAGATGGAGGAGGGGGGGGGGGGCAAAGCACTCATCTGAAACGCTAAAAAAAGTCACTGGCTGCATGAAAAATCAAAAAGCGGAGAGGGGATGATTTGAAGCTTGGGGGCGCTGTTCACAAACGTTTATAAACGTATTTATGTACACAAAATGCGATTTAGGGTCCATACGCCAGTTTCCTCACATAAATATACATTAAACAGTAACGTATTTACTTGGAATCTCTCTCATCATTTTCTTTCTCCCCTTTTCCACCCTTTTTTCCGCCCCACCCCCTTGCTCCATCCTGGTGACGCCCATGCATGCTTTCATATGTTGTAAATTGCCTTGAAAACACGATTAATATTGTCCGTTGCAGTAATTCAACTTCGACAAATAATTGCATTTCTTTTTGATAGTTCGTCGACTTAGTAAGCAGCATTGTTTTTAACAAAACCTTTTTTTTTCAAATTCAATTTTTTGTTCATCTCAGAGTGGAACAGCCACGGCTCCCTGGGGAGTCCTCGACCCAGCCAAGGCCCGCGAAGACGCCTTCAATGTCGGTATTGCTGCCGGCTGCAACTTTGTCTTTGGGAGCAGTTCTCGTCTTGTCGATTGCCTCAAGAAGAAATCCTTAAAAGATGTCATGAAAGGGGCCGCATGGGTAAGTTAACCAGGGTATGTCCCCAAAATTGTCCGTCTGACTGTTTTTAAAATAACTGAAATACTATGAGTGGAATTTTGAAAATGGTTTGGTTGTGCAGTACTTCTTAGCCTGGGTCTCGACCCCTATGAGTTTCATTTAATTTCAGTCATGCATCATCACTGCCATATCAATTTGGGCGATTCACAATGCAGTGTGCCACCAAGAGTTTGCCATGGTGAGTCCATTTTTTAAGATTACGGTCGACAAAACATGGCCGGCCTATTTGAACGAGTGCCAGTAGGCAACTTGAGCTAATTTGTTAGGTAGATTGGGGCATAGCGTTCAGCTGCCTTACAGAAAACGCAATATTGATAAACAGAAAAGGGCAAAGAGACACTCTTCATCATAGGCTTACGAAACTACTGACCGGAAAAATGGACAATTTCAAATGTCCCGCGCTGCGAATTTGTCGTCTATCTCCCACAATGCGCTGGGGAAAATGAAATATCCGTGGCAAACTCTTGGTAGCGCGCTGCATTGTGAGAACTACGACATTTTTGGACACTGTGACCAAATTCCATGTCTTAATCAATTTCAATGCTGTGTTATGTAAGCTGTGTAAAATCCTGCATGTTGAGAAAATAACTGACAAGGTTTGGGATTGGAATCATTTGCCCTTCAGCATTAAATTGATGTCTTGCCATGATGGCAAATGATTCCAATCCCAACTGCAGCCCTTTTCACAACATGAAGGATTTTACACAGCTTACATAACACAGCACTGAAATTGAATAATGCAAGGAACTTGGTTACAGTGTCCAAAAATGATGTGATCAATTGACAATTGTGCGTTGATGCCGTGACTGAAAGTCAAAGAAATTCATAGGGGTTGACGCTATTATAAGGCTTGGGAGTATCTGCACTACCAAACATTTTCAAAAGTGACCTCGTGGTTTGTAGTTATTTCAAAAATTGTCAGACGGACACTTTTTGGGACATGTTGTATAGCGAATGATAGAAAAGGCCTCTCAGAGAGAAATGCTCAAAAGGTCTGGGGAACCAGACTACGACATTTTGTGATTTTGAGTTTAATGAACAGATACACGCTCAAGCTGACGTTCCCAAGAACAATACAGTCGGAGGAGTTTTTGTTTCTGGTCAAAAATATTTCCAAGGTAGCAGTTGAGTTTACCGTACGTTCCCCGAACCAATGTCTCCTTAAATTCTGAATTTGCAGTGTCATGTTCGATTCCACCCCTGTTTGTTTTATATTTGATTAGTGTTTCCGTGTTTAATTTTTTTCTTCAGGTGTTGCGTTTTAGGTTTGTTAACTTGGAAAAAGCAGTGGAGATCCCATTCGCACCGACCATCGACGGGGAGCTTCTGACCAAAGTCCCGGCCGAGCTCTACCGAGACGGTGAGTTCAAGAGAAGTGACGTCCTGGTAGGCACTGAGCGGGACGATGGCACGCTGATAGCCGGCAAGGCCCTCATTACAGACGCCTTGCGCCACTTCACAATCCCGGACATGACAAACCCTGTCATCGACAAGGAGACATTTGACGAATTTCTCAACCTTTATGTCTTTATCAAGCACGACCAGAAGATGTTGGACTTGATCAGCGCGAACTACACAACCGCGGACCAATCCAACTACTTCAAGCCGTTTTACCACATCACCAATGATGAGGGTTTCGCTTGCCCCTCCGACACCGTCGTGAGAGCCTTCGCTGAGTTCAACCCCGACACCTACCTCTACCAGATGACCCATGTGTCCTCCTTCCACGTGCCAGGCACAACCCTGAACGACACCGTGCAACACGGCGACGAGCTTGGCTACGTCTTTGGCAGCACCTTCAATACAGACTTAGAACCACCCCTTGAATTGACGGAGGAAGAGGTCCAAATGTCGGTGGATGTGATGCGATACTGGACCAACTTTGCCAAAACTGGGTAATAATGATAATAATTATTAATAATTATTATAATAATAATAATAATTATGTTATAAAGCGCTTCATACCAATGGTCTCAAAGCGCTTCACACTTATTACCCTGCTCATTGGGCCAATGAAACATTCTACATACCATCTCTGCTCCCTGGGGAGTATACAGCTCGATGTTACCATTTCGATGCAAATTAAGCAGCTAAATCAACCACAATAACCATCCCTGCTCTCACAGATACCCATTTACTCCTGGGTGGAGAGAAGCAATGAGTGACAAAGTGCCTTGCCCAAGGGCACACGCACCATAGCCCCAGGTTGGACTCAAACCCACAACCTGCAGAATTACCCGCAGACCACAAGCTCAATGCTCCAGATCACGACGCCATGCACATCACTCCACAAGTAATGAAATGAAATTTAGCATCAATTACTCTTTCTTTTTCTTCTACGAGTGTGGTTGTAACTAGTTTCCCAACAAGCAAGAATAAAAAGAAGCATTTTGCAATGCATTGTTTTCCTAGAAGAAGGCCTGACTAAATGGAAGTTCCACTACGTAACCAATGTTCTTAAACTCTGGCAGGAGCTTCTACATGTTACTTGGAGGTCGGTTGGTCGGTCTGTCTGTCTGTTTGTCCATGAAAATTTACCAAAAACGAGCCCCCTAAGTTCCATAAATACAACTACCAAATTTTGATAACAAAAAAACGCAAAGAAAATAAAGTGAATACTTCACCTCTATGACAACATTGGAAATGGAGGCAAGATAGTTGCAGTAATGTTATAGTCACGTGGTATAGCACGCCGTATTTTATGGCAAACTTAGAGAGTTCATTGTGGTCAATTTTCAGCGCGTGGTATTCACGTGGGACGATGGCCCGGACTTATACACACTATAATTTTCATGCAAGACAGCATGAGCTTATTTTACACTTGCACTTGCCATTGCTTCACACCCTTTGTAGTTTGACATTTTTATATCCTGGAGGAAATACATTTTTTGTGCATTACATGTTTTCTGTCTTTTTCCCCTGATCAGTAACCCCAACTTGGAAAGCCTGAACAACGAGGAGGCGTCTAATGCCAAGATTTGGCATAAGTACAACAAACAGACCATGTACTACAAGGACATTGCCCCTTCAATGGTGGACAAGCAGTATCTTCTGCGAGACAAGTGCTATCTCTGGAACGTTCTTCTACCCAGTATGGTGCCAAGGTATGACCATTCTTTTCTTTTAACGATAAGGGGGCGAACCTGTGTTCACAGGAACGGAGTACCCATCTCTCTTTCGAAGTGATTGGGCCAGACTATGCTGCTGTTGGGGGATCGCCACAGCGAGTCTGTTACCTTCCCAGCATTAAATAATGCCGGTACCCATTTAACACCTGGGTTGAGAGGAGTAATTGAGGTAAAGCGCCTTACTCAAGGACACAACACGTATGGCCACGGCCGGGCTCGAACCCACAATCTCACGATCATGAATCATGTGCCCTACACCATAGACCACACGTACCCCCACACAATGAACAAGGTTTAAAATGAACAAGGTCCGAAAGATGAAAGTTTTGTCTTTCTCGACTTGGTGTGTAAGGCATAAACTAAAACGACTAGAAATCAAATAAATTCAAATGGATTATTATGTATGACTACACAAATAATTAGATTACTCCAAAAAACACATGAAGTATTAACCACTACACCTGCAAGGGTACGGCAGTCTCCTGATGACAAACAGAGCATACTGTTCGAAACGTCGAGTAATACCAACTGGTTTTTCTCAGAACCACACAACTCACTAAGATATATCATTCTCATGGTGTTACTGCAAACGTCCCGTTCATTGATCAAGTACCAAGAGCTTACAGGTGGTAATATTTTAACGCAAATCTCAACCTTTTTTTTTTCATTGGACGCACCAGCATTGAGTAAGACGAGCAGCCAGAAAAATCAAATGAGCCACTGGTCTGCCACAACTACCATGGCAGAGTGCTGCACCGTATAGCGGATCATCTCAACAGAGGTTCGTTAATGACCTAATGAGTCGGCTGAAGTGACCATATATCTTGGGTATCGTTTGGGTTTAATTATTTTAATCAGTTCCGATTTTCATTTTTAATTTGCTCTCACATTTTATTTCTATCTGGTGATAGTGATTTACTCTAGGAATACATTTTAATTAAATATTAATTTTCATTTAATCATAGTTAAAAGGAATAAAACTCTCAAGCAACTACAAGCCCTTAAGGGTCCATGAAGTGAAGTTTTCGTATAGGAACACATTTTGTGCATCTTTCTACTCCTTTTTAAACGTAAATCTAAAATTAATGTGGCCTGACGTTGCGAACTTAGCAAGTTCTTCTTCAGAGGCTAAAACAGAAATGACAGAGATACATACATTAACATGGGGGTGCACACAAACATGCAGGGCTGAAAGAAGAAACACAAAAGGAGGATTAGGAGGGAAAGGTGTGGAAAGATGCAGGGGAGGGTGGATGAGAGAACAAAGAAACAAAGGGAGATGGCAAACCACAAGGGGTCTGGTGTAAACAGGGGAGGGACCAGAAAGGGGAAGGATCAAAGGTCACAGGGAGTGGGAACGGACAAAAGAGTGTGAGAGTGAAGGGATGATGCGGGGGGGGGGGGGGGACAGTATTGAGGTGGAAAGGGATGAAAGATGGCGGGAGATGTGTAAACACAAACAAGGAAGACCAGATGGATTATCTGTAACAGAGGACAATGGAGGAAGAAAAGGATTAATCATTTCCAAGTTGGATGTTGAGACCATGTGGTTGAATAGTTCGAAGACGATTCATCCACACCTTCTCTCTGCTGAGGCGAACTGACTCTTTGCGATGGCCAAGAGATTCAATGCCCTGCAAAATCATATCAGAAATGGAGTGGTTAGGCAGGTTGAAGTGATGACCAACAGGGGTGTCTAGTTTCTTGGTGTTGACCGTTGACCGATGGGCATAGAAACGCTTCTTGAGCGTATTCTTAGTCTCACCTACATACTGCACTCCACAGACTCTGCAAGAAATGAGATATATGACATTAGAGGTGTTACAAGTGATGTTACCAATGGTTCTGTGGGTAGTGACAGAGGAGTGGCCAGAAAAGGAGTCAGACTCCTGGATATGAATCTGGCAGACAACACATCTGGAACTGCACTTGAAAGTACCATGCTGGGTGGGAGGGGATGCATCTAAGGATGGGACTTCAGCTCGAACAATCAAGTCCCGTAGATTTCGAGGACGCCTGTAAGCCAATGTGGGGCCGTTGGGGATGGCGCGGGCAAGGCGATCTGAAGTATGGAGGATATGATGATTGTCATTAGTGATTTTGCGGAGGGGAGGGAGATTGGGGTGAAACGTGGTAACCAAGGGAATCATGGGTTTGGCCATGGCATCAGGGGCCTTTCCCGTGAGAGCTAGATTTCTGGGGATAGATTTAGCTCTGGCAATGGCACGATGAACTTGGCGAGAGCTGTGACCCCTGGCCACCAAGTTGTTCTTCAGTATCTGTGTATGGCGGGAGAAATCGGAATCATTAGAACAAATTCTTCTGAGTCTGAGTGCCTGGCTAAACGCTATGCCAGTTTTGCAGTGCCTGGGGTGACAGCTGGAGGAGTGGAGGTACTGGTGGGTGTCTGTGGGTTTGGAATACAGGTCAGTGGTTAGTGAGTTGCCTTGCTTGCGGACGGTGACATCCAGAAAGTGGGTTTGGTGAGCCGAGAACTCCGATGTGAATTTGATGGTTCTGTGGAAGGAATTGATGTGGTTAGTGAAGGTCAAGAGACTGTCCTCATCACTGGTCCAGATGAAGAAAACATCATCAATATATCTCCACCAGATCCAAGGGCGACATGGGGCCGAGGCAAGAATGCGTTCTTCGAGGTCACCCATGAAGAGGCAAGCCATCGACGGGGCCATGCGAGTGCCCATTGCAGTGCCGTGTACCTGTAGATAGTGTTCACCAAGGAAGGAAAAATTGTTCTTCGTTAGTATAAGTCTCATGAGGGTGCCAACATCACTGATGGGAGGAGTCGTGTGTCCTGCCTTGGCCAGAGCCAAGGAGCAAGCACGAACTCCCTCCTCATGTGGGATGTTGGTGTACAGAGATGAGACGTCGAAAGTCCCAATGATGGCTGTGCTGGGAATCTGGTCCTTGATTCCTTCAAGCTTGCGTAGGAAGTCTGGGGTGTCGTGAATGTATGACGAAATCTGTGGGACAAGGGGTTTGAGAAAACTGTCAATGAACAGGGAGATGCGTTCCGTGGGTGAGCCATTACCAGAGATGATGGGTCTACCGGGGTTGCCAGCCTTGTGAATCTTGGGTAGAAGGTAAAATCTGGCAGTCCTACAATCACAGGGAGAAAGAAATTTGTGAGCTTTCTTCGACAACTGGTCACGTGATCGCATATCGTCAAGTACCTGTTGTATATCTTGACAGAAAGTGCCTGTGGGGTCAGAGTCAAGGCGGGTATAGTTAGTGCGATTATCCAACTGGCGGTGGGCCTCATCAATGTACTGCTGACGATCCATGATGACCACAGCTGAACCTTTATCTGCTGGCTTGATGATGATGTCGGTACGAGAGCGCAAGGAGTTGAGAGCCAGGCGCTCCTCTCTTGGGAGATTATCATGAGTCCTGTGGGGGAAGTTGTCCGGGTTAGTGACTTGGGAATTGATAACTTGAACGTATGTCTCTATGGCTGGCACACGATTCTTGGGGGGTACCCATGAACTCTTGACTCGAAAAGGCTCTGGCTCACACGGTTCACTGTCCAGGAAAAACTCACGCAGGCGGATTCTACGGTAGTATTCCGTGAGATCTTGGCTGAGCTGAACCTGGTTCACAGAACGGGGAGCGGGACAAAAATTGAGACCCTTGGAGAGAAGTTTGTGCTCTGCGTCAGATATTGATGAGGAAGAAAGATTAACTACAGTGTTGACAGGGGGTTCTGGCGGTGGCGTGGTAGATGGGGACCTAGGACGTCTGAAACGTCTGTGTCTGCGTTGCTGTTGCTTGGCAAGCAAGCCACCAATCTTCTTGTTTCTCCTGTTGAGTAGGACAGAGTCAAGGTTAGACAAACCCCTTTCAATCTCATCATGGAAATTCCTGTACGTGGAGTCAGAACAACTGGATTTGAGTTGGGAGTCAAGGTGGGAAATATTCTGATGGAGGTCCTCACGTGTAAATTGACACTGCTGAGAGAGAATATTGATGAGTTTAATAGAGGCACCATGTAGAACTTGATTCCATCTCCTTTGAAGGTGTGGTGGGAGGTTTCCTAAGCAGGGAGTGTGAGACAGTTGCAAACCTTTGGGGATAAATCGAGAGAGGGAGTAAAAACTGTAGTTATCCTGATGGTAGGAAAAGCGTAAGGCCTTTTCCTTTGCCTTTCTGAGCTGTTGGAAAGTGCAAATGGTGTCACTCATATCTGTAGAAAGGGAGAGAATAAATGGTTAATACCTTTTTAAACGTATGAAAACTGTTTGGCATCCCTTTTCAATTCATGTTACTGGAAAGTGCATTTTTAAAAACATTTAAACATGTCCATGCTTTCTGGACATCTGAGGGCGCTGTTGCTTTGATGTCATTTCAGGGAGACACTGTTCAGATTAGGGGTTTTCTGTTCAAATTGTGAACCTTAAATTTGCTAACTTAAAACATTTGTGAGAAACTTTGTTCATTGGCTTAAACTGCCATGTACTGACAACAACGAATCATCAGAAAAAAATTCATGTTTGCGAAATCTCGAGCATTCTGGCAACTTTTGGTGCTGAGATAGCTGTATTATAAAGGTTTCTGCCTGAAATGACATCACACTTTTGCTGATGAATATGGAAGTTTGCATCAGCTTCAAAACAAAAAAAGCACCGAAATACCCTGGAAAAAGGCAGAACGAAAATTGAAATTATTAAATGGGACACAATCGTGTATAATCAAGGATTGCATTAAGAAAATTACCTCTGCATGACCTTTTATTTGTCTATTTATTTAAATGCTATACACTTTTGGGTTAATAGCTGCCACAGTTAACCCTTTATTTCTAGAGACTGCATCTTAAAAAAAATATAGAATGCAAACACAAAATAATCAAATAATGGACAAGTTCGGTTCTATTTACACGTTATTGTATACAATTTAATTTCACAAGTGCACTTCTTCCTCTTTCAGTATTTATATTTTACTCAAGTCATAAAAATATTAGCTTGTAAAAAGACATGCCGAGTTGCCATTAGATTGGCATGATTGTTGTGTTTACTGATGTTTGTTTTCGTGATTTTTACTTCAAAATTCAAAGAATCCAGGACAGAGGTATAACAAAACAGTTGTTGACTGCTGTGATGTGAAATATGACGTTGTAAACGTTGTTCAGAACTTCATACCCCACATCACAGCAGGCAACAATTGTTGACTATGTACATTGTACATGTACACTCTAAGTGGTGAACGTTTAAGGTGCAGTGCAGTAACTAGACTTGTTCCCAGTCCCTCCATTGTCCTTAGGATAATACTTCCACCTGAATTTTAATGAATATTTATTCTAAAATGATGTTTCGGCCTGTTTGACAACATCTGGTAAGTTGTTCCATAACTGAACTGCAGCTGATTTGAAGGAGCAGGAACCATAGGACTTAGTTTTAATGACTGTGGGTGCATGGGTAGAACGCAGATTTCTAGCTGGTTTGTACTCCTGAACTTAACTTTAAAGATAAACAGGGGCTATACCATGGATACGTTGATATGCAAGAGCCAAAACTTGGATATGTTGATATGCATGCGCCAATGCCACAGTATATCTTATTGGATAAAAACGGATTCACACAATACGGTCAATATTTTGGTTATTTGTTGATTTCCGTAGGTCATTTGCATAGTTGTACGCTGACACCATCGTTTTGACGTTTATGATTGGTTAAAAATATTCTCCCAAAAAGGAATAGGAAATAATATAGAAATACTGAGATTAATATATAAGCAATTCCTGAAAAGTATAAA